GCACAGAAATGTGAATCATACCTTGGTCAGATCAGCCCTGCTGAGGGTAGGAAGTTCACAGATCCAAGCTGAACTGCACCTGCAGATGACCTGTCTTCCTTATCAGAAACCAAGAATAAGTCCTTCTGCCCTGCCTTGAAAGGGTTGCTATGGAACTCCTGACTCAAAGTGCTGTGGAATATTACTTTAACTATGTAAAGGTGTGTTGCATTTTTTATGCTGCATTTGTCTAACAACATAAAGATGTGTTACATTTGTTTTTGCTGCCTTTGTTTAATTATGTAAAGAGTGTTGCTGTTTATCCTTGCCTGCCCTAAGGTACCTAGTTGGTTTAATAAAAAGCTGAATGGTATGTAGATAGGCAACAGAGATATAGGTGGGGCTGGAGGACAGAAAGAATACAGAGAGAGAGAGAGTGAAATGAGGGAGAAATAGAGATGCCAGAGGCCAGCCAGGCAGCCAGTTACCAACCAGCCGGACACAGAGTATGACATATAGAATGAAAGAAAGGTAAAAGGCTCAAAGCAAAATGTGGATTGAAGAAAAACAGGTTAAATTAAGCTATAAGAGCTAGTGAGACAAGCATAAAATAAGGCCAAGAATTTATAACTAATAGTCTCAGTGTCATGATTTAGGAGCTGGTTGGTAGCCCCCCCCCAAATAATGTGTGGCTCCTTTAAGAGGGTCTGCCACACATTGAGCACTTGAGTAGCCAGCAGTTAAGTATAAACAAAATAAAAGTTCACTTTATGCTAAGTAAAAGCCTTTGCTTCCTAGAGCTGGGTCTGTTAAATGCAGCTCCCAGTTAAATGCTTTAAGGGCCAGGCTCTTATGGAGATAAGGAGGGAGCAGAGCCAGCTGCCAGAGCCATAGTGGAGGGTCTAGCTGTCATTGATCAGTTTAAGGTTTGGTTTATATGATCAGAAAAGACTAGAGACACACAGTAAAGACAGGCCCAGAAAATAAAAACTTCTCAACAGGTTATAGTGTGCATAGGCTTAAGAAAGAAAAAAAAGAAATAAACAGTTCAAAAATAACCAATTCTTTAAGGGGAGAGTAAGGTAACACAGTAGAAAAGAGCCATGTAAAGGTGGGAAATACTCAGGGAGTCTGGATCCTGTGTGCTGTTGTCTTGAATGTTGATGGGTGAATGACAACTGCTGAGATACACTGGATTGTGAAAGGGATTGCTGAATTAAACCATTATGAATACTTTAGGGATATCTTAACCTTAAAATGGAAGTCAGAGAATGTATTATGTTGAGGAAGAGATTATTCCACAGGAAATAAAAGACTATGGACTCCTTCAAGGTTAACAGAGATTAGGTTTGATCAGGGGAGACCTCCCGGAAAACTTGGCTACAGACATAAAGAAATAAACCAGGAAAAACTACAAGACACGTGATGTATATACTGATCCCTCTGCATGGGAACAGTTCTGAGACTGAACAACAAATGTTACAACTAGTTTCCCCAGGACTTGACCATTATATAATTTTGCTCAGGGTCCCCTAAAGATGTTGTCACTCTCAGACAACAGGAATCAGTCTAGAGAACAGAATGCCCACATTCCCAAGGGTTAGTATGGGTGGTTTTTGGTCATTTGGTGGGTTTTGGATGTTTGTCATTTTGTTAGGGGGAGATATAGGAATATAGGCTAAAAAAACAACTATTAACCTCAAATATGGATGGATTTTGGTATATTGATACAAATTTAAAGTTATTTTTGTTATACTATGTGTATGTTTCTACTCTTGTTTGAGGTATTGTGCTTATGTAGCTCATTTAAAATGTAATGTATAGTTAATGAATTCAGGTTAGTAGTTGTTCATATATAATAATCAAATTTGTAGTCATATTAGGTATGTTCTAAGGTTAAACAGATATTAGATAGATAGATGATAGATAGATCAACAAATGTCCTTCAAATGCTTCAGAAATCTATACAGTATGTCATTTATAATGTTTAATAACCTAAGGCTTTTCATGACAGGGAGGCATGTCTGCTCCTGGAAGCATTAATCTACCTCATAAAAGGATGTAGGACCTTGAAGAACTTCCATATTGAGTTTGCTTTCATTGTGGTAAAGCTAGCCATTAGGGTAAGAGGCTGCTGACAGTATGCTGTACAAACTGGATATGCAGGATACAAATGAAAAAGACTGCCAAACTTTTCCAAGACAAGGTGGGACAGTCCTTCAAAATTCCTGCTTCATAGAAAAGTCTGCTAGATATTCTAGGTCTGAAGCCTAAAGATGGATGTCCCAACATTGTAGAGGAATGTTAGGTGACTGTCCAGGCAGCCAGATGTCTCTGTCATTTCTATAGCTTTGAAAATGTCTTGCAATGCACTTCCTGTTTATTCAGGTAATATTATATCTTCCTGGGATCTTTGATGAAACTGAAGACTAGATAGTTATAGTTACAGTTTTCCTTAGCTACAAAAGGAGGCAAATAAGGTACAGAGCTTTGCAATCACTAAGGTAAGATAAATAATGGAATATTTTCTCTGAATTTGGCAAATACAAGTAGACTGGATATTGTAAATGTAATTCTTATTTGATAATTGTTCTTATTATATAAAGTCTTACCCTATTACTATATTAAAATTAAAACATTTCTTATTTAGACAAAAGGGGGAAATGTGAAATATTACTTTAACTATGTAAAAATATGTCACATTTGTTTATGTTGCATTTGTTTAATTATGTAAAGATTTGTTACTCCTCTTTCACTTTGCCTGCCTAAGGAACATGATTGGTCTAATAAAAATCTGAACAGCCAATAGATAGGTGGGGTTGGCAGGCAGAGAGCCTAAGTAGATAAAAGACTGTAGTTGAGACAAGAGGGGGCAGAAGAGAAGAAATGAGGGAGAAAGGGAGGGAGACACCTGGAGCTAGCCAGTCAGCCATGGAGTAGGACATTTAGAATGAAAGAAAGGTAAAATGCCTCAAGGCAAAGCACAGATGAAGGCAAACAGGTTAAATCTGTTAAAAGAGCTAGTAAGAGAAGCATGATAAGGCCAAGCATTCATAACTAATAATAAGTCTTGATGTCATGATTTGGGAGTTGGTTGGTGGCCCAAAGAAAGCCTGCTGCAATAAAGCTTTATAAAGGCACAAGTATCTCAGGAGATGATCCCAGTAATTCTTACATTCAAATGACAGAATACTGTGCTGGGGATTCTGGACAGCCAGAATGTCAGCAGAGGATTCTTTAAATGGCACAGCATAAGGAAAATCACCATGGGTCAATGGAAAACTTTGTCAGTCCTTACTTGGTTCAAGACTACCGGCCAAATTAGGAAATACCAATATTGTCCCTTTCAGAATTCAATGACACTGTGTGAAGAGAGTAATGACTCCTGCATCTCTAGCATCTGGACATGAATTAAACACATGCCTTTCAGCAGCAGGTCTGGTTGCTAGGTGTCGTTTATAATGACCCGTGGAAAGCAGCCATGATGATGGAAGCATACCAGGAATGCCAAAAGACTGTTTCATGTTCCTTGTGGGCCTCTACGGATATCACAGCCAGTGGCCAGTTTGAGGAGGTCTTTCAACTTTCCCACTGAATGAAAGATGTCTGTAACCATAGGTAACCACCCTGCAGACTTCAGGCAGCACTAGACCTAATAAATCCGTGCCAATGCCCCAGGCGCAAACGGCTGCCCTTTGTGCAATGACCAGCAGTGTTTCAAAATTCTTAAACTCATTCATGGCAAATCAATTAACTTTATTTATCTTTTTGCAGGATGGGGGTAGGAGGCTAAGGGAGTTTATATCAAAGTGACATTGCAATCCAGTGCCTACAATGAAGTGGCTTTTCTGAAGTAACTAAGACTCACATAGAAATACTTTTAGCACTAAGGGCATAGAAAATGGCACTTAAGTTTTCTCCTGTCAATAGATCTCCAGCTTACAAAGCTATAACTGAAAGAGGATCAAGCATTTTTAACTCTATTTGATGCATCCCACAGCTAGCATGACCCAGGTTTAAAACTGTCTTTGAAGAGTGTGCCATCACTGGTGAAAGCTATTACAGAGTAAGAAACAGGACCATGGAAGTACAACTCTTGTAAACTGCATAGGTTCACTAAAAGTCAAATCAAGATAACTAATCTTTCTGATATTTAAAAGGAGGGTTTGGAATTTTTTAAATACTGAAAAGAGTTGCCTAGCAACTCTTTCCTGTCTTGCATGATTCTATTATTATTTCCACCTGCTAAGGAAAAACATCAATAAAATTATTTCTTTGCAAATCAAAAAAGTAGGAAAATGAGCCAGGGACTCAAATGAATGCATGGTTTGCTTACTTGATTCCAGACTTCCAAAGACATAGTGTGTTTACTAAAAGATGCTAATATTTTTAAAAAATGCACTTTAACAAATTTTGACAATGGCCCAGGCTTTCCTAAATGAAGCTTATTTCAGTAGAGTTTCTGCTGTAATTCAAAGTATGGAAAGCTGTTCATTAGCATGTGCAGCTGTCTGAGCAATAGAATGCAGAAGATTAGCAAAGCCTTCCACCCCATACCTCCCGAGAACACAGAGAACCTGCTGTTACCACCATTGGGGGCACTGTATGAATAGAGGGTTTGCATGAACTAGCTACCACTGCACCAATATACTGTCCAGGAGGGCTGGAATTCTAACACCCTGTAGTATATGGAAAGACTATACTGCATACTTGGATGTACAGATATAACATTCAAGGCATTTGTTTGCCTTTGAAAGCAACTGAGCTTGTGATGTGTCACCCCGGTGGTGTTGTCAATACTCATTAAGATGTCTAAGTGGTATATGTGGCTAAAGCTATAAATAAATACTCATCCAGTTTTTCTTACTGCAGAGTAGTGCAACCACTAATTTCTTTGGTACATTCAGCATCCCTTACCCAGACGGACCTTGTGTCAAAGTAAAAGGCAAACACTCACACTCCACTCTTTGAGTGTGCCTCTCTCCTCCTCTACCGGTCATGTTGGATATCCACATTATGTCATGCCACCAGGGGTCAAATGCAAGGACAATGGAGGTAATCTGGAAGACTGCCTTCTCATCGTGCATCTTCTAAAACAGCTGTGGAACATGTGGAGGAAAGTGTGCGAATGGTATGCAATATAATCTAATGTTGTTGGGTTTTGTTGTCTCAGGCAGTTAGGCTTAATCCTAACTATAATAGGCTTATACACAAATCTCAGCAGGAAAATTAATGAGAGTATTTTTCCTAATGCTTTAAAAATAATAATGAAACCATTCCTCATGGTACAAGTTTCTAATTCTGGCTACTCAGGAAATAAGTCAAGAAGATTTCAAGTTCAAGGCCAGCTTGGCAATCTTAGTGAAACCCTGGTGGTACATATCTGTAATTCTAGAACTTGGTAGGCGAAAACAGGAGAATTTCCATGATTTTGGAACCAACTTAAGCTACAGATTGTGTACCATACAGAAAGTGTTACATAGGAATACCATTTTAACACAAACCAAAAAACAATAGTACAGAATATTATATATGAACATCAGTGACAAAGAAGACATAGCCATACTGTACATATAAACATCTGACTTATACACACCTGATACTGTGTGTCTGAAAGGTGAGTGGAGAAGCAGCTGTGGGTCCTGAAACTTGGGCTTCTTTCTTTCTGCAGCAAAAGTTAGCCAGTTATCCCTGCTCCATCAGAGAAATAGCTGTTGATGTCAGTCAGCTACTGTTGGGTTATATGGTCTCTGATCTAGTCACATACAGTGTGCTTGAAGGGGCTACCACTCAGGTGCGTTTAACTTAGCAAATAATTTATTAAAAAACACAGACTAAATATACCATCAGTTCATTTCCTTAGCTGCCTTTGCAGCAGTCACCCACCCCAGTGTACCAGTCCCCCACTCCAGTGCAGCCGCCCCCGCTCCAGTGCAGCTGCCCCCACTCCAGTGCAGCCATCCCCACTCCAGTGCAGCCGCCCCCACTCCAGTGCAGCCGCCCCCACTCCAGTGCAGCCGCCCCCACTCCAGTGCAGCCACCCCCACTCCAGTGAAGCCGTCCCCCACTCCAGTGCAGCCACCCCCACTCCAGTGCAGCCGCCCCCACTCCAGTGCAGCCATCCCCCACTCCAGTGCAGCGGTCCCCACTCCAGTGCAGCCGTCCCCTACTCCAGTGCAGTGGTCCCCACCCCAGTGCAGCCATCCCCCACTCCAGTGCAGCGGTCCCCACTCCAGTGCAGCCATCCCCCACTCCAGTGCAGCGGTCCCCACTCCAGTGCAGCCACCCCCACTCCAGTGCAGCAGTCCCCACTCCAGTGCAGCCATCCCCCACTCCAGTGCAGCAGTCCCTACTCCAGTGCAGCCATCCCCCACTCCAGTGCAGTGGTCCCCACTCCAGTGCAGCCACCCCCACTCCAGTGCAGCCATCCCCACTCCAGTGCAATAGTTCCATATGTCTGTGAGGCACAGCAAGTGTGGTTGGGAAGGGCTAAGCCTCAGATGAAAAGCACATGTGGGTTTTGGTCACATGACAAAGCCTTAGGACTATTTTGAAACAGAAAATCCAATTGACATGGCACGCTGTGTGCATGTCTCATTATCACACACAAAATAATAAGAAAAACAAATTTGATATGAACGAAAATCTTTTGTGTACTAACTCATTGTATTAAAACAGTTGTGTCCTAAGAATTCTTCTAGGAAATGAAGACTTACACTAGTCACAAAAGCATCCTTTCACACTGGTTGTAAAGGGAAAGAAATGGAGACGGCCCAGATGTCTGTCTGCCGGAAGCTGGTTTAGAAGAAAAACAAACCTAGTCCATTCATGTATACTATTTGGATTTTTCAGAAAAATAAGGAGGCTTTATGTACTGAAGTGGAAACATCTTCAAAGTATGTCATGTGAAGGACTGCATTGTCACTGTGCTGTGTGTGTGTGTGTGTAAATGAGAGAGGGAGGGACACACACACACACACACACACAGAGAGAGAGAAAGAGAGAGAGAGAGAGAGAGAGAGAGAGAGCCCTAAGAAACTGGGGATCCTGCAGATGTCAGATAAAGAAAGGAAGGAAATCCTTTCTTTTCATGCTGCTCTATCTCTGTCTCTACCTTAGGTACACATTTCTGCCCAGACCATGTGATGTAATGCCTTAGGCAGGATGGGTTTCTTCGAATGCCTTCATAGCTATACCTCATACCTACTAATAGGACAGCATGAGCCCATTACCTACATTATGAAAGATAAATGGCTGCTTAACAGGCCACATAATCTAGGACTTCCTTTGATCAGCACATTAAATGTTCTGTTGTCATTTGCTTGTTTCTTGTTTTCACACAACAAAGCCAGTCACCAGAAACAGAAAATTGCAACATGGAGGTGAGACATTCAGTCCTACACTCATGAATTTTAAAGTCAGCCACTTGTAAATATATTTATTTGGAGCAGCCCTACCACAAGAGCTTGTCAAGGGAATGGTCAGTTTTCTAGACCCTGGCTGATGGTAACTACCCGTGAGCAGATGGTCCACAGAGCAAATGATGTGTGTTTAATTCCATGCTCCAAACCAACTTTCAAGACAACGGGCCTCCTCTTCATTCCTTTTACTCTCTTCCCACTCCTCCTCCTGACCAGCCTTGTGTTAAGGGAATGCAAACAAATGTCAGTGTTGAACTAAGCAAAACCCCATTAGAAAGATGGATTTGACATCACGAAGGCCAGGCAGTGCCACCCAAAGTCGAACATAGCTGGCTTTGAGATCATCTGCTGTCTTGGAGCACCAAGTCCTTGACTGAAGTCTCCAGGAGTGAGCCGGAAAGATGTAAGCATGAAAAGCCGCAATCAAGGCCTGCGTGGCTTCCTTCCCGTATCCAAGCCGGGATAACTGCGCCCTGGATGTACTAGAAACTCTGTCTTTCCATTGACTGCAGCACTGGTTTCTGCACTTATTTTTAGCACCTGGAGCCTTCTTAAAGAAACAATACATGTACTTAACAGTATGTAAAACAAAAGTGGGACACTCAGGACTCTCTCTACCCATTCCCCCTGCCTTCATTACCTTCCTATAAAAGTACCAAAGCCAATCATGAAAGTTCTGGCATTCTCAAGTTTTTGTTTTTAAAAACACCAATCAAGATCAGTCTGCTTCTCCTGGTGTTCAAGACTCTCCAGAAAGAGGTTCTCCCCTGCTCACTTACCCAGTTCCTCCAGGAGCCCTCAAGTGGATCTGGTCATTGCTGCTGAAGTACACTGTGCAGGGCCTCCCTTCTGCTCATCCGAACACCCCTCCCCTGCCTATGACTCAGTTGCAGCTTCTTTTTCTAGCATAGTCCTTCAGGACCCACCTCCTCCTCCTCTAGGAAGTCTTCCTCTTGAATTAACTGTTCCTTGAACACACCCAATTTTACTCATAAACAAACAACAAAAAACTACATTCAGTTTCCCCAAAATTAGAAATACCCACAAAAGAGGACTTAGTTTGCTGATTTCTCCACATAGCGGAGTTTAAGAAATATTAAATGAAAACACTTGGGAAACTAGATGAAGCCAAGAGGCTGTGGAAATGTGTAAAGTGCTAAACGTGTGAGTGCTTTAGAAATAGAAGGTATGCGTTTGTCTCCACCATCCCTTTCAGGTGTGTTATAACAACAATTAAATTTTCAAAATAGTGTGACCAATTTTAAAACTAGATAAAAGAGCCAAATTTCATTACTCCAGAAATTATCTGCAAATCACTGAATAAATGTTTCTTGATATCCATCTGCTGTCTGTGCTGTTTGGGTGCATGAATAATGCATATTTTTAAGATTTCAGAATTATTTCATTTTTGTAAGATAGTATCTGTCTTCTAGAATTAAAATTTAGACTTAAGACTTCTGGTATTGGGTTCATACAATGATCTGTAGGGAAGCAAAATAAAGTTGACTTGTTAAAGTTATTGTGAATAACTGGAATTTACTGTCAGTATTTGTTTTCTCATCTCAAAAAATAAAGGCAAACTTGTTCTAAGGGAATGTGGAGGAGGAAGCTAGAAGTACAGATTAAGAGAGACTATTCTCAAAGTATATGGTTTGAAAATGGCCCTATATAACACACACACACACACACACACACACACACACACACACACTCACACACAGAGAGACAGAGACAGAGAGAGGGGGAGAGATTATCTTTCACACTGTTGTTTCTGATATAGGCCTCAGCTCAATTCTAGGAGCTCGAATCTCTTATTGTCTTTTAGACGTTGGCTGGTTACCTCCTGATGGCATGGCCATAGTGGAGAATGCCTTCTAGTTTGTGTAACAATAGACCTGGGCCCCACAGCCATCATGAGGGCTAGTGGGACATGCCTGGGGACCAGTGAGACATACCTGAAGACTCTTGAGACGTGTGTTACAGGAGGTCTGAGGGCTTGTGTACCTGCATTCTAGGACCATCTCTAGGGTTAAAGGAAATGTTTCCTAGTTAGCCCTATACACATGGCAATAGATGTCTTCTGCCATTACCCCTGCTTTTGGAAGGCTACTTAAGGTGATACTTCAAGTAAACCATGACCTCTCAGTATCCAATGGGAGCCCTCCTGAGATGACCTGGTGTTCCTATCTCATCTTTAATGTTGTTGGGTAATATATGGGAGTCGACACTCCCCCACTTAGGGTCAGACCCAGGGCTGTACAACCGGTTCCTTTCACAGCCCCTAAAATAGCAGTGTGGAAAATCACACAAAATCCTTTGATCAAACCAGTTCTAGTAGTGTGATTTCTGTTCTCATCAGTCTCATTGGGGTACAGTCACATCCACTTATTAAGTTTATGATACATAAAAAGAAGGTGCATCCTTGTGACAGATAACATCTGCAGAGCAAGATTTAAAATAATCTGCCATTGGCACTGATCCAGGCCCCCTGAATGTGAGTGTCGGTGAGGAGGCCTCAGCATTCTTTGGGACCTCGGGCAATAAATACACCAGCATCTATCCCTGGCATCCAGATGGATTTTGGGAGCCCATTCCACAAGGAGGGTTGCGGTCTCAGCCTGGACACATTGGAGAGGGCCTAGGCCCTGCCCTGGATGATATGACAGACTTTGGAGATTCTCCCAATGAAGAGCCTCACCCTCTCTGGAGAGTGGAGTAGGAATTGGGTGGGGAGTTGAGGGAGGGTTGAAGGCAGGCGGGGAAGGAGGGGAGGGAGAGGGAGCTGGGAGTGACATGTGAAGCAAGCTTGTTTTTAATTTAAATTAAAAATATAAAAAAATAAATCCTTTGATCAAATCTTTTGTAATCTGAGTCCACAAAAGACCAGATGAAGACAATGTTGATATTTAGAAGCATTGTGTGCCATCTCTAAAGTTTTTGAGGTTGACAGCGGGGATCTTTATCATCTATGGTTTTTGCAAAAATAAATGATCAGTGGGCTATTTGTTCTTCATTGGAAACTGTCTAGAAACATCATTCACAGCTGAGGAAACTGGTCCCTCACGCTTAGTGGAGGCGATTTCTACCTCATTTCTCACAGACTCAGTCACCTTGGGTCTGAAAGAGGGAAGAACAGAAAGCTGAGAGTCAAACATGAAGGGTGGCATGCGGAAAAGAAGAGAAGCAGCGAGGGACCAAAAGGAGACTGAAAAGTGGGAAATCTAGGTATGTGTCAGGATATGTGGAACATGTCCAGTGGCTACCGAAAGGCGTCCAGAAGTTGTGACCGCAAGACGACATTCTGACTAGAAAGCGGACGGCAACTCCCAACTTTAGACACAGAATTCCAATGCCAAGAGACTTTGCTTAAAACTCCCAGAGATATACACCAGAAGGGCATTTCTCTACTGGAAGGAACCCACCAAAATGAGTAAGGGTATGTGCATAGGGAGTAATTTGTAATAAATACGTAAATCTTAAAAATATTTTAAATATTTAATTTTTGAATCAAAACACAGGCTGTGTATTCACCCCACCACCACGATCATTTTACCACAATGATTCAAGGCTCCTCTTTGCATGTAGGACACTGATCAGTCCTGGCAGTCTGTGTTCCCTCCTACAGTGTCTCCTCTACACACTAAAGTGGAACCAAACTCATAAGAAAAAAATCCCAGTCATTGAAGTGTAACTAAGGAGCCAATCTCCTAGAAAACTGCCATTCCAGCTGACCCTGGAGTCACAGCACTAGACTTGTCCTGACATCATTTAGCTACCAAAATGAATGTCAGGTGCAGCCCCATGGATACTGTCAACCTGGAAAAATAGATACTATTCATTTTGCATTACTTAATTGTCGGACAAATTATCTAAATTGCATAATTACAAGAGTAAATACAATGTGTATTGGTCACTGTCCCATCTTCTTTACCTAAAGCAATGGCTACCATGGATTAGAGGATCAAGCCATATTTGTTAAGCAAAATAGTGAGGAATAAATGACATAGTAACCAGAATTCTCAACAA